GGGGGGTGCATGGCTTAGATGCTTAGAGCACGCGTCCTCGAGAGAAGACGGAGCATTACTCGATCACCGATTGGGCGGGGGGGGATTGGGGGGCGGGTGCTCATGTTTCGCATGCCTTAGATGTTTAGGCCACGCGAGGACGGAGCATTATTCGATGATGGATGGCCAATCGTTCTTACTTGCCACACGGGGCTCGAACACGTTTTCCCATTCCTACAGTATCGATGTGACTTCAGTCTCTTTCAGGGTTGTCAGAGATGCCTCGTCGGCAAGTGATCAAACCGAACCAACAGCGCTGACCGCTATTTCCCTGGCTGGAACAGGATCTTCAACCACAACATCATGCCAACCGCCAGGCCTCCCACAAAAGGCACAGGCCCGGAGGAAGAACGGGAAGTCCTGTAAAATGCCGGAAATGACACCGACACATAACCAGAGCTAATCGCTTCGTCGCCAACACTGCACCGCACCTCAAAAATAAAAAGGGAGCTTTTCAGACGGCTCCTGGCTAACCATGTTTTTGTAGGGTCAAACAAGTAGGTATGTTGCTTGCTACGTGTTTTTCAAGTACCGTCTCTAAAAAAGACGAAGAAAAGGTGCTCCCAGACAGACCCGCAACGCAGGAGCTTGACTCGAAGAAAACACCCACAACAAAAAAATGCAGCTAGCTACGACAGCCTGACCGAGCAAGAGTACACCCCCAGCTGGGAGTAAACAACAACCCGGCTGAACTCACTTGTCGCACTCCCGCGTTAGGTACCGCACCAGCCTCGACGCCGACGGGCCCCCCGGGCCCAATCTCACAGACACGGGGCCCCTGCCACCGCCACCACCGGGGGGTGTAGGGCACGCAGAGGAAATCCTGACCGACTTCTCTATTGCCACCGCGCTAGCGCTCAAAGTGCGCAGCGACCTGACCGCCGCCACGAGAACCGACAGCGGTAATCGCCCCTCCTCCTCTTCTTCCTGCTGCTTGTGCTTTGCGGGCCCAGACCCCGCCCCCGCCCCGCCCGCCTGTGCCATCTCATACGCCACCTTCGCGGCCATTGCCTTGGCGCACCGGGCCGACGACTCCGTGGCCAAAATCGATAACAACGCCGCTGCAGCCTCCAACTCCGCCCCAACGAACCTGGTGAATCCCCCGCGGAACAAGGATGTCAGCATAGGGATAAGCTGGGAGGTACATAGGTGTGTGCGACTCAGATGCCCTGTACACGGTTTAGATACACGTGGTGGGAATCAAAGGCAAAATGCGAATATGATGAATCAGTTGTCTCGCCTGTAAAGGTGATCATGAAGCTCGTCAAATACCGCAGCAGTAGGTACGCGGGGGCGGGGTTGAGCCTAGCATTGCGGGCGTGTTCACTGTTACTACAATAGTACGGCTGTGGACCTGGAACCAGACACGCCCAGAGTCTGGCGTTCCACGGAAGTAGGTCGCGGCTGACCAGTACCCTTCGCATGTTTTTTTGTTCAAGTAAACATGGTGGAGTTGGACAAAGTATGCCATCGGTTGGGTTAGGATTACGGATAGGGTCTGCGTACACCCTTCCTGTTCTATTTCCTATAAAACTTAACTTTCTCTCGAAGTCGGTCCTCCGTAAGTCCAAGGGCCAGTCAAAGCCGCTGCTAGCGCTACGGGTGGACCCTTTGATCCCCGTCATCGGCAGTACAAGCTAAATCAGCTAGCGCTAGGGTATGGTAGGTCCGTAGCAAGAACACCACGCCCATATTCTCCACCCAAACAGTCGGCGATATTTGCTCTCGAGCCTCTTGAGCTCTTCAGCAACATATGCCGACGTCTCTGAACCCATACACAGCAGCCACGTGCCCCATCACAAAAAATCTCCTGTCTCTTGGGCCTCTTGTGGGTGGAAACGTACCAAGACCTCGTTTTCCACCCACCTTCAAACGGTCGCGCGGGCTAAATGTGCAATCGTAGTTTTGGTATCGAGGGCGACAAACGGCAAACCAATTCCTCTCCGATTACACGCACGCCGAGCACCTGAAAAAACTCCCTCTCAAATTGATCGATCTCCAAACTACCTCTTGGCTGTAGCAGACTTGACGCTCTTTTGCTTGTTTGGGGCAGACCACCAAGTGCACCCGCGACAACGTCTTGTCTCCCTTTCGATACTCCATACTGCTGCTTTCTGATGGGCCAATCGGTTTATCTTCTTCCGCTCCTCACGAAACTCAGGTTTTGAGGCAGTAGGGTAAGGAGGTTCCGGAAGACGAAACCTTCCGTGTGACCACGGAGGAACGGTCCTACGCGGGGACAAATGCTATGTGTTGAGTGTGACCGATGACACAGAGCAATGAAAACAACGCCTCTGTAGTCGATCCGTAGCCCCAAACACCTTCGCCCTCTGCTTCGACTAGATACTGCCCTTCCTCCACATAGCACCACCGATCCACCGATGGACTCACCGAACGAGGTGTCTATCGACCGTGGTGCATGCCAGCAGGAGCGCCTCCTCGAGCTGGGGTCCCCGCCGGACCTTAGCAAGTACCGCCAACGCGTGCTGAAACGCCTCCCTCTGCTTCTTGGGGGCAAGCTCCTGACCAGGACGTGGCGGCCCCATCTGGTCTCGTATTCGAAGTTAGGTCGGGGTTTGGGGCAGCAGCAGCAGCAGCGCCGCGACCGTTTCAGCGCGTAGTCGCCAAAAAGAGATTTACCATCTAACGATGAGGGAGGTGCATCGTCTGCCCATTGGCTTCAAAACTTCGTGCCTGCTGCTGTTGCAAACACAGGAGGGACATTGCATACCGTATGCCACGAACTCCTTTACCGTTCATGTGAAAGTAATTTGCCGCACATGTTATCTCTGCAAGTGGTAAAAACATCGCGTTTGAATGAGATTATTCTCATGTGATGTTGTTGGTGTTGTTGTGTTATAATTGTCGTCGTATCAAAAACCGTTCCCGTTCCCGATCAGATTGTGGCGATACATCAGTTCAGCAATGTTCCCCGCGCATCAACGCTTTAGCGGTTAAAATGTTGTGCCTCGGAGTCTTCGTAATAATCAAGATAACTGAAAGGACTCGAGCTCCATTTGTGAGCTCGGTCAAGCACCCCCACACTACCTTGTTTAGTATAAACTGTCATTTGTGAGCATATGCGTAATGCATAGCCCGCAAGCACCAACAAAAAACCAAGCTCAGCCAAAACCAAAAGTTGCGTGGGCGCTAGCCACTGCTGCCGTAAGGACCATGGGAGATTTTTCAGGGGCCTGGAAGATATTTCATGAAAGTGGAACGGCAGTTGTACTATTAATTTACCGATATCAGACACGAGAGCCATCATCATCGCCGTACCGTTCCTCCCGCCATCAAAACTTAAAAACGCCAAGTTGGTGTTGTTTCTCACATTAGCTCTATAGTCCAACAAAGAATGGGGAGCCCGTGGTCTCAAAACCCGGCACATACGACGCCGCGGGGAAACAAAACGTAATAAGGTACAAACCACTCGGGCAAAGAAAACAAAATGACAGAAAGAAAACGACAGGTACCGCACCGACCGTTCGAGGTAAGAGCCGTCGGAAACCGATCAAATAAAACAAAAACAAAAACGAAAACAAAAATAAAGGAGGACGCTTCCCACACCCGCCACAAGAAAAAAATGTGCGTGGCACGATAGCGGTGCCTGAGAGGGGACATCTAAACCCTCAAGCTCCGTGTGAGGGTGAAATGTTTTACAAGATAGCAGCTGGGTATTGTGTACATAAACGATTTTGGTGTTTGCACCCACATAACCGCCCCGGTCTCTGCTCAGTCAACGTCCGAACGAACCTGGTCCGACGGGCGCTTTGCTTTGCAAAAAGTGGGGACTAAACAAATAACTTGCCCATTGATTCACCATGTCAAAAGTTGAAAAGTTGCATGCACAAGCTTAGTCCCTGGTGTACTCGGTAAAATGTTCCTAATATGAAGTTACTTCTTTTTCTACTTTGCCCGACACGAGAGATCACTCGGATGGTATGCATGCAACACGAATGACTACCTCCAGCTACACGTACGTACACAAGCGCTTCAGAGCGAACATATGGGACGGGGAGGGCCGTATCCTGCAAGTGTTGTGGATATTTTGTGATATTTCAACACGCAAGTTGTTGGGCTCTCCATCCATCTCCGCAAACACCTTCAAGTAATCAATTTTCACGGAGAGCCTACCTCTCATAAGTTTGTGTGCATAGATAGGATTACTGGAAAAGCTAGCATCTTCGACCGGGATGGGGGAATCCATTGACAGCAGTGCTGTTGGCGAAGGGGTTTGTGATGATGATCTTCTTTGGTTCTTGTTGATGCAGTTGTCCTATTTGGGTCATGTACACTTACGCAACCAAACTCAGCAGCAACTACTACTATAATACTGGTGGTGCCATGACTATGTTGTACGAGAAAACAAGAAAAAAAACGCAGCTGCTGTTGTTGTGAGTAAGGTGTGCGTACCCAATCAAAAACACCGGGACGTGAGGTCTTGTACACCCCATGGACCAAATCGTTCACCCAGATACCCGCGTGCAATGAACCAAGGCCCTCACACCACGGCGTTGCCTTTGAGTGTTGACGGGCAGAACCTGGCCACGACGCTTTCGTATGGGGGGTACGACACGCGTGACCCGCTGCTGCTGGTGTGTGGCTGGTTCCGCAAAAAAAAAACATCTCACGGTCAACGTTCCATCCACCACGTGCAAAGAAAACACCATCATGCCCGCGGGTAGTTGTCATGTACACACACCTCCAGCAGCGACGCCATGTCCTCCCTTAGCCGGCTCGCTAACGCCGCCCCCGCCTCCGGCCCTCCCGCGGCACCCTTGGCTCTTTGTCGGGGAGACCAGTCACTTATACCCGCCGCCGCGCAGGTGCTGCTGCTGCTGCTGCTCATTGCCAGCGCCATCCCTGGTCTGCTGCTGATTGGGAAGCCCGGTGGCCAACCCCGGAACTGCTGCTGCTGCTGCTGCTGCTTGTTCGGGGGCTGGCAACTCCCCTGTGCTCGCGGTGGTCTCAGGCTCGTTGGAGCGTGGTGCTGCCGACCAAGTCCGGCGGCTGAAGAAGCCGTCGCTTGTTCGATTGTCGCCATACGACAGAGTTGACGCCTCCTCTCACGGCCCCTGTTCTTTGTTGAAAACGTAGTAATGTGTCTTGATGGCTTGGACACGACCTGCGGAGAAAAGGCTTGTCGAGCATCCCACCTGCAGGAAAGAAAACAATTTTTCGTAGGGAAAAAAGCATTGATTGGTAGAGACAAAATAGAATCCGTTGAGGAAGGCTTTCGCTCGTGTCGGGGAGAGGGGCAAGCGAGGAGGGAGTTCCACAAGCGTGTTTCCAAATATGCGTTTCTCTCTCCTGGTTGCTTGGTTGCGCAACTGCGACGCGGTGCAACTGCGACGCGGCGCGATTACAGTAGTCGTGTTCGGGCGCGCTCGGCGAACATTGGTAGGCAGACAAACAGACAATCATTAGGCAAGACGCATGCGGAGAGAGAGAGAGAGAGAGAGAGAGCAATGCTGCAGTAGACAGGCTGAGAAACAAGAGAGACTGACATAAAATACAGAAGAGAGACACCAGAGAGAGAGAGCGCAAAAGACTCATCACACAGCCGATGAGAGGTGGACCGAGCAAGTAAATGGGTGGAGGCAATGCTACGAAAGAGGATACGTTCCGCTTTCAGCGGCGAATGAGGGGCAAAAAAAACAATATCCAATCCCTGGAGACTCGCGTGTTGGAGAAGAGGGAGCAGGTAACATCTCGAGCCGACTCGTTCATGACAACGTGGGTGTAAATAGTAGACTATTCTAGTCTAATAATATTATTGTAGATCATACTGCAGTAGATGCCACATACATTCCCGCCTACGTATGGTGCTGCGCGCTGTGTCTGTTGTTGTCACGATTGAAGTACTAGTCTACCGTACGTATGTTGCAACAACGTGCACAACGATATAGGTAGACTTTGTGCACGCGTTTAAATATGGTAACAACAACCAACGATCTCGCAGGTGCACAAAACAGCAAGACGGCTAGGGAAGGAAAAGCAGGATTTCTTGAGCGGCAACTTTGTCAGAACGTGGAGAACAGGTTTCAACGCCCTGAAGGCTTCCGAGCAGGACAACAGAATGAGTGATAAGCAGGTATGACAGTGCGTAGGCTATGCATGTATCGTCTATTACAAAACAAATAGAAAGTGTGATTATGCAACGTAGGTTTTCGTGTTTCGTGACGCAATAAAATTGTTAAGACATATTGCTTGCTGCTGTAGACTAGTCTACGACGTACAGTGCATGGTAAGCACTGCTGTAGTTGTCGACAGCAGTCCATAGCAGCAGTATATGTCGACTGTACACGCAGCAGTAGCAGACTGCTGTACATAGGGTAGTAGTGTGAAACACGGTTTTTGCATGAGCCGTGGGAGTATGGTGCGGGTATTGATTACATGAAGCAGACCAAGCATGCACACACACACGCCACCAGCTTGTCGCCTTCTATAGTCTACATCTGAAGGAACACAAACGTGCCGATCGGCAACTTTTTCGTCGCAAGTAATATCCACACCCGTCCCTGTGACCAGCTACCCGTGCGCAGCTACTCTCTCGTGGACAACGAAGTTTGGCGGATGCCTGAGATTCGACGGTGGTTCGACTCGCACAGTTCGCCGCAGGCAATTGGCGGTTTCAATCCCCTGGCTTCCGGTTACACCATATCTTCGGACAAGGTGCACGCACCACCATGGAGTTGCACGAAGGGAATACCTTGCGTTACTTATGCAGAGCCGCCTTATAGGTTGAACTCTTTCTCGCGGGGCTTGTGCTTGACACCTGTCACGTAGCAACAACTTTGGCTCACCAATTGTGTTTGAGACCTGTCACCAAGCAACAATTTTGGCCCATCAATCGCAACGACCGTCCGTTGCTGGTAGCCCTCCCGCAAACCCGTATGTAGCAAACGGGAAAATTGGGATCTACCGGCGGTGAGGGACCTCACAAGAACGTTACCACCATTCAGGCAGGGTGCACCTCGACTTTGACATGCTTTTCAGGCCACGTCAGCTGTGCGGTGTCCTTCATAAAATCGATCGTACAGGGGCTGCTTTGCACCCGTCCACATCACGAACTGACTCCCTTTTACAGGGAGTGCAGTAGTAGCTCTGTTCTCGAGAGTGCTGCTAATACCATGCCTACCGCTTGTTCCACGTATATTCCACCCAGAACGAGGTTTTGCCTCCTCTTATGCGGATCCAGCGGGTTCCCACGCCGAAATGGGCTGCGGCAGAAGACAGGAAGATCATCGAGGAATCGCGGGATAAGCGCGAACAGGCCATGAGATTGAGGGAGCTCCAAGACCGGCATTTCTCTGATTTTGAGGGAAACCTTGACGTTCAGCGGGCGCGAAGTGCCGTTTTGGCCTCACGGTTGAAGCCCCCGAAGGGTTGGGGCCCTCATCACACCCACGTCGCGGTGAGAGTCTGCGTCCTGAGAGTCAAGCGCAGGTTGATGAACTTGTCCCGAACGGCAATATTTTTTGTGGATGTGTACGTGCGATCTCGCCCCAGCAAGTAGTAGGTGGTAACGCTGTGGGTTAGAAAATTATTTTGTTACTATTGTATGTAGTCAATGAGCATGGTGTATGGCTTCATCTCGTAATTTTCCGTCGTCGCACAGGGGTGATGGAAAACTCAGACAAATCTCAAACAAAGTCGTAGCCTATCGAAGCATCCCGTAACCCGTTAAACTGACTGCTAAAAGAGTCCAGACGTGAACAAGACATGTGTGTGCTGATTGTTAGATGTACGAGTGTCAGTCATCATCCACCAACAACGAGGTTTCCGTTCGAATAAAAATTGTGCCCAGACACATGCAGCCATGTTGGTGCTGATAGTGGGCGAGGCTGGTATTCCTCGTGTGGCATGGAGAGCCCAGTCTCGAACGCTTGGTGTGTTGCGGAACTATCTGTTCGCAAGATCTACATACATACGTAGCAGATCTTTGCAGTAGTGTGCGTCGTCCCGCTCATACTGGGCATCAGCTTTGAAATCTTGCGGAATGTTACCTGGACGCATCAGCCGGGATCTCAGGGGAGGAAGACCACATACAGATGTTTTTGGTCGTCGTTCTCCACCATCTGCGGTGCGTGCCTTCGTTATTGATACAGCAGCACCGGTGGAGTAGTAGTAGCAGCGCATGCGATAGTAACCATACAGTCACAAAAATACTACCCATTCGAGCGAGATAACACTAGATCAGTCGAAGGGAATGTGTTTGAGTCTTTGCAGTGAGTGACAATGAGTGAGCGAAAAACCGGCTCGTTTTTAGTCTCTCGCGTCCTCAATCAATGCTTGTCTGTCTGCCGCCTGCAGGGGTTCCGCACGCCTCCTTGGAAAGAACGCCCGCCACAAGAGGCCCCCAGCTACAAACCTCCACATGTATTTCGTGACAGAGACTTTGTTGTCCAGGTAACAGGCCCCTCTGTATGTAGCGTTCTCATCCATCCCATAGCACGACTGCGGCTACCCAACGGGCTTGTTCGTTCCGACCACGTGTAACACTCATCTTCGATGTTCGTAAAGAGTGAGCTGTTTGCATTGTTCGCGCTTCTGCTTGTTCTTCTCTCTTCTCTGAACGACAGCCGGGAAGTCCATTTTGTCTCATTGATAGTTTCACCGGCAAATTCAAGTATGTGTGTGTACTGTAGCTCCCGAAGACACAAAATGTCCGGTGGTCATCGATCCTGCGATCCGTAGCTACAGAGAGCGCCCGCACTTAAGAACTGAGCAGTTAAGAAATTGAGACTCGCACAAAAACAGAAGCTTAGAACTTAAGCACCATGTGTGAGCTTGGTTAAGAACCCCACACTTAAACCTATATAGCGGCCATTTGTAGCCCACAAGAGAATGATCAGCAAATAAGAACCCCAGCCTCGGCCGAAACTAGAGGTTCTTATGTGCGGGCGCCATCTGTAGACAACGAACGCCACCAACCGTTTGCAACCGTTGTTCGTCGGCATGATCAGTAGATTGGAGTGCAGGGCCAGCAGAAACCAAAAGTCGTTGATCCTCCGCACCGTTGCTTAACAACGAACACCACCGTGTGCAACCGCCGTCGGCAGGCGGGCGGGGGGTTAGAAACCTACAACGCCAACCGGAAGAAGACCAAGCGACGGGCTGCTGCCATGACGGCGGGATCAGACATATGGCACGCAAGCGCTGCACAATAGCAGCTAACAAGTATGCTACAGTATTGTAGTAGCACAGGCACAGCGAGAGAGACAGAAACATAGAGGCCAAGGACTTCGGGCGTGGCTACGAGGCCTGTTGCTGACCACCGGGTCGAGTGGAGCCTTCGCAGAAGCACCGGTCTGAAGCACGTGTGCCGATCGACTTAGCACGGGGGGGGG